AACAAATACAAATATGTCGTATTAGCTAACTTTGTCATAATGAATGTGTAAAAGTTAGAATGATATATGATTTGTATTTTTCATATCTAAATTGTTTATTTATATCCTAAAGATGAAGAGTGATAATAAATACAAAGTATTTATATGTATTTCAAGTTGTTCGGTGTTCGATTCGGTTTGCGGTTTTTCGGTTTTAAACCAAACCAACCATTCGGTTTGACTTTTGAGCAAAATGCTACCAAACGGTTTACTTAAGTAAAACCAAACCAAACCAAACCAAACCACCAATTTTCGGTTCGGTTCAGTTCGGTTTGGTCAAACCAAACCATTTTGCCCACCATTACTTTCAACAATTGAAATTGAATGAAGAAAAGGAAGGAATCTACTAGATGAAATTTCAGGAACAGAATCTATTGATTGAGGATAAAGCAACACGTACGTAGCTCCATCCAAATCTCCATAACTGATGCGGCGCTAGGTCTCTTCAGCGGTGTTTGCTATAGCTTATTTTAAGCACTCTTCAGCTTTTAGATTAAAAAAGCTGTAAAAAAAGTGTTTGCTAATAATGACAACTTCTAATTAATAAAAGCACTTTTAAGTTAAAAAGTAGAAGCTGGGATATGCCAGCTTCTAGGTGCTTTTAATAGCTTCAATTCTGGGTTTTCTGGTAAATGTCTTCAACTTTAAGGATAATAATAACTCAACCTATCGATCCTTATCCCAACTCTACCCTTAGCCTTTCGTCTTCGATATCTCAACACGTCTTCGATACCAAGTGATGGGGAATTTCAAATTTCAAGCCTAAAATTGTTGCAACATCTAAATCGACGTCCAGGTAAGGTCTATTTGTAACTGCTATTTTTTGTTTTTCTCTTCATTTAATTTTAATGAATTTTAGATTTTATTATTTTCTTCGGAGTTTATTATCCTCTGGAACTAAACCATGCTCTGTTCTGTAGCTTTATATGTGTGTGTGTATAATCCAGTGGAGATGTCTCTGTTCATTGTTTTCAGAATCAATTGAGTGAGGGTGAATTGATGGATTTACACGTGTTGCAATTTGTCCAAGTAATCAAGTTATGAATGTTCCTTTGGATGCCAAGTTGTTTGGAATTGTTTGTTTTACCAGTAAACTGAAACCAGAACTTCAATTTGAAAGGAGATGGATGAAATATTATGGATATGCCGATCTGGTGTAATCTATACTAATATAAAAAGGGAAACCAATGAAATACATAGTTATAACGGTTCCCATCTGTTCATTTTTTTTTTGTAATAAGGAGGCTTAAATTGAAAATAAAACATTCAGCAAGGGATACAAACGATAAAGGAAACACTTCCAGCCACCAACCCTCGGACCAGCTGGAGAACCAATCACCCTGTATAGAGCAATATGATTTGTTTGTCCTATAATGGGTCTAAATGAGCCAAACGTGGCCAGAGCAAAACCCTCATCACCCCACCTAATGTAAAAGTCTGGCAGAAAAACAATACAGAAAGCAACAACGACAGCATTCATGCCTAAGAATCTCAAAAAGAGTAAAATGAAATTAAATAAAATAAACTAACAAAACAAACGAATCCCTGCTTCAAGCATCATCCTCAGAGGTGGCTCAGGAGGGGGACGGATCATCAAACCTTCATCCACCTCTTCGTCTTCTTCCGCCCGAGGACTCCTGTTCAGAGCCTCTTCCTCGCCCATATCCTCATCTTCCTGAATTAGTTTTCCTCTGACGCCCTCAAGAAACCAGTGATCACCATTGATGATCATCTCCATCTTCCTATCCAAAAAGTGGGCAAACAATCTGCCACGTGCTCTCCCACCTAAAGCAAAGACCAAATACCTGTTACAACCAAAACGAAAGAAAAGCAGTGCGAGCAAATCCACAGGCCAGAGCCTTCTTCAGCCGAACACACAAACCGAGCCAACGATCTCCCCCTCCACGATCGAGAAGGAAGATCGGCGCCGGAACACCCAACCCTAATTCCTAGGGAGACGTCCGCTGTATCTCGTTCCCATCTGTTCATTAATAACCAGTTATTACTGATTTCTAAGTTTGGTAACCGTTGGGCAGACCATCACATAGTTTACAAACCGATGCTTCATTTAACTGTTTTTAATTTCCTCCTTGAAAACAATTGTTTGTTCTCCGTAGCACTACTGCCCTTATTGTGGTTATTACTTCCATTGTCTTATTCAAATCAAATTGTTTTGAATACTTTGATTTTACAATCACGTTCACACATGCATGTGTGATTTGGTCGTTATATCAATGACATTAATAATTCTAGCATTTGTTGGGTTTGAAGCTTTGGTTATCCACCAGTCCATGAGAAGTAATACTACAGGTATGCATAATGCACTAATGCACTTATAATAAGATTAAAATACAAGTGCAGTTTTTAGATTATTAAAAACTATTATTCATTTTAGGAAAAATTGACAAGAATAATCCCACCTTTCACTAGTCTTCTCATAATAATCCCACCTTTTAATAATCCCAAAATAATCTCACCTTTGCACCTCATCTTCTTTCATTGGACCATGACCATGTTTTTTACTCTTTCTTTGAAAATTGTACAGATAATCTCACCTTTCACTTTTTAATTATATCCTTATAAATGTGAGATTATTTATATAAGATTTTTAAAAAGGGTAAAAAAAAAAACTTGGTCAGAGTCCAATGAAAGAAGATGAGGTGCAAAGGTGGATTATTTTGGGATTATTTAAAGGTGACATTATTATGAGAAGACCAGTGAAAGGTGGGATTATTCTTGTCAATTTTTCCTTCATTTTATAAGATTAAAATACACATACTTTTTAGATTATTAAAAACTACTATTAATTCTTATAAGGTTAAAATAGTCATATTCAAAATTATTATTTTACACATGTTAAAGTAAAACTTTTTAATAAATACTCCTCCGTATTTGAAAGGTTTGGGCACATCATTTAAGGGTGAAATAGTAGGGAAAATAAATAGTGTAGAAAAAGTAAGAGAACTTTTCAAAGAAACTGATCAAAGAGAGAAAGTTTAGCAATTTTTTAAATACATTCAGAAAAATAAAGTGTAGCAAACTTTAAAATCCGGAGAAAGTGTTGATTAACATATTACACAAATCAGAATGTTGACTGAAATATAATATTATCCCGTGCATCACACGGGTAACATACTAGTGGGGTTGAAAATTGTTGGTGGGTGTAAGGGTATTATTGTACTTCAACAAAATATTACATCTAAAATCACTTTTCAAACACTCCAACTTTTACATTTTAATTAAAATCACTTCTATTCCCAAACACTACCTACTTTTACTATAAATCACTTTTTCAATAATCTCTTAAAAAAATCATATTTAAAAAGCACAAGCAATTGCAAACACTCACTTCATATCTTTGTACTGATGAAGGATATGCTAGAACTTGTTCAAGCATTTTAGCTTAATAAACAAGAAACGCATCAAATTTGTTATTTTATGTATTAATAATATACTCTCTTCTTCCAAACAAAATTAATATACTCTCTCCATCCCATAAAACTTTACTAAATTTGACTTGTACGGTGATTAATACGGTATAAACTGTGTGATTGAGGTTTATGCAGAAGAAAGAAAATTAAATAAAACCACAAATTCTTTACTTAAAATGAGAATTGGCAAAATTAGTGGGACAACCAAAAAAGAAAAGACGCTAAAGTTTTAAAGGATGGAAAGAATAATATGTAAAATGTACTCTCTTTGTCCCTAATTTTTCTTCCATAGTACAAATGACACACAGATTAAGACAATGTTAATTGTGTGATGGAGAATTTTGCAGAGGAAAGCGAAATGCGTAAGAATGCGTAAGAATTGTTGTAAATCACATACTACCTCCGTCCCCCTAAGTTTGGGACAATAGAAAGTGGCACGGTTATTAATAAAGTGGGTTTATGTGGTTGATTTTAAATTAATAAAGTAAGAATAAAGTAAGAATGCTTTAGAACCACACAAATTTTACCAAATAAGGTATGAGACAATCTTAGTGGGACGAACCGAAAAAGTAAAATGAGACAATCATAGTGGGACGGAGGGAGTATTTTTTATCAAAAAGAGAAAGTGAACATTTGTTTTGGGATGTCAAAAAAGAAAAGTTGGAAGCTTTTTTAGGGATAGGGGGAGTAACAAATTAACGTGCCATGTTAATAATTAGAAAAGGGACTCACTCAACTACAAACTCAAATTGAAAACAATACAAAGAGAATCATCTAATTCAGTCACTTCACACAAAACATCATAAATATCAGGAGAATCGATCAATATAGCTGATTTGGGTATTACCATGCGGGCTCTTAGTCCTATTTTTGTTCACGACATTTAATTTTGTACTACATGTATCCCATTTTATGTGTCCTTTGGTTTGACGCAAATATAATAACTTAATAAGTAAAAAAACTATTTTGTACACACATTTTTGTGCACACTAGTAGACATGTCGGTGGATAGGTTGTTTTTTGTCTGTGAATAGTCTGTTCATAGACAAAACAGCCTCACCGACGTCGGTGAACATGTTTTGTCTGTGAACAGGTTATTAACAGAGAAAAAATAATTTGTTCATCGACTTGTGTACTGGTGTGTACAACAAATCGGGTTATGTTAATAAAGTAATTGAAAAAGTAAAAGTTATGGTTGAGATTTGAGTATGATAAAGGGAAATGTTGTAAACCACTCATTTATTTTCAAAAAGCAATATGACAATTGATTTGAGACAATCTAAAAGAAAATAAGAAAGGTAACTTGAGCGGGAGATTTGAAACCCTAAATATTACTACGTATCACATTATGTATTTACCCTAAATATGAGTATAAAACATAATAAGAATGTAAAAATAGAACTTTATGTTTTAAATTCCCAAAATAAGAGTTCATATTCCTATTCTGTCGTTGACTTGGTGTTTGGCTCCGTTTATTTCCTTCTGGCACGCACATCATGTCTCATATGTTCCCTCTCTTCTTTAATCTCTCCTCCCTCCTCTCCCTTCAATTGTCCCCTCACCCACTTGTTCTTTTTTCTTTCATCCTCTCTTTCTTCTCTTATTATCCCTCACACCCCTCCTAAAATGCACGCATCTCTCATTTCTAATAGAGATTTAAAGTTTTTTTTTAATTTCCAGATGGACTTCAGAGGCGAACCAAATAAAACTTCCCATCTTCAGTCAATGCTTCTCTCTGAATTTCTCCCTTATCGATGGATTCGAGTCAAATGTGTGTGTTTTCCTCCACATTCTTCTCTTATTTGTTCTTCTTTTCCTCCTCTTTCTTCTTACACCTCTGTTTTTTCTTCTTTTATTTTTTCTTATTTCTCATTAATTATTTATTTACTTTGAGTTTCTAAATTAAGAAATGTTTTTTTGGATTTTTTGTTTAAAAACAGACGCCGACTAGCTAATTGAAAAGAACTGGATTTGGTTTTTGTTTACATATTCTATTTTGATTACCTTATTTTAAAATTTTAAAATTAATCAATGAAAACCTGAGAGTTCTATAACTAATGTTTATTTTTCAAAATTTATTTGAAATCAATGACAAGATGATTAAATTATTTTGAAATTATAGCTTATAGTGCCATGTTGGTCGATCTATTTGGAAAATTATGCGAGAGAACATTCATACAAATGGCACTAACTTCATCAAGATGATATTATTTTTTCTGATTTTTAGTGTTTCTTTATATTCTCATATTTTACATTTTCACTATTAAAATATACTTAATTTTCTTATTGGGTAATGCCATAATTCACATGATAATGCCATAATTTTTAATTTCAAAGTACTATTATTTTATGAGTGATAGTGCCATGTTTTTTATTTATAAATGCAATATTTTTATTCATAAATGCTATGTTTTTTTAACGAAAAATGGCATTGTGATCTTAACATGGCAATACATTTTACTCTGTGCTTTATAATTATTTTTGAAGATGGAAACCTAAGTAGCTCTAGATCGGCAGTTACTCGCACTACAACAAATGGCGGCAGTGGCAGAGGAGATTCAAGAGGCACATGAGAAGGATGTGACAATGGTGGAAGACTTAGCGTGAAGACTCGTCAGAGGACGACGACGATGGGCAATGAAGCCCGCCTGAGAGCGGTGGTAGTGGATTTGGTGGCGCCATGGCGGCGACTAAGGTGGCAACGGCAGTGGATTTAATGGCAGTGACTAAGGCGGCTGAGATGGTGGTGGCACCGCCGGAGATGGTGGCATTCCGGCATCAGATCTTGTGCAGTAACATGTAGACTTCATTCGTGTGAAGTTGAACTTTAGTGTTTACGGAGTATTTTATAATATTAATTATTATTAATAAATAAACCAGATCTTGCATTAAGGGTAGTTCGGTCAACACAAGTTCTTTTACTCCTATGGAAGGTTAAGGTCATAATTTTGCACTTTTATTATGTTTTACTCCTAGTTTGGTATCTCTATCACATTGTATGATTTAGTACGGAGTATATTTGTTAGTTCAATCACCAGATTCACCACGTGCTTCATTCTTTTGGACATTCTTTTAATTGGTGTGTTTTGAGTCGTAGACCATACCGGATTAAATCAGATGTTGACAATTGTAAAATAAATATAAAGCATATATCTCGTCCGCAACAGATCAAACATATTTTGATCAAATCAAATCAAATGAAAATTAATCAGGCTTTATTATATCAGACTAGAGCAGAGCAGAGCAGATCAGACTAGAAAATTTAATTCAATTGAAAACGAGATATAATCCCATTAAAAACGGTGAAGATTCGCTCGTTGTTGAGGTTTATTATGTAATATGTAATGTTAGATTAGCCCACTTAAGGCTGGTTTGCAACTGCTTAAAAAAGCACTTCTCGGTTTTTGGCTTAAAAAACACTTATTTACCAAACACTACAAATTTTTACTTTTCTCGGCTTTCGTGTGAAAAATGCTTTTTCCTTTTCTATTACACAAAAAAAACACTTATTTTACCAAACACTACTACTTTTCAAATCACTTTTTTCTCAAACACTATCAACTTTTACTATTAATCACTTTTCCAAATCACTGCAAAAGTGCTTTTTTAAACAGAAGCAGTTGCAAACACTCCCTTAATGTGTATTTTAGGGCTTCCGTTTGTAGCCGATGCGGCACCTTGTGTATTTATACCCTATTATGTGAAATAGAAAAGCATGAAAAATTTAACCCTAAAAATACTTTTGTCATGGCATCAGAGCCACACGGCTGGTAAACCAACTCACGCTCGACATTTTCTGCCAGTAGCAGTAGCACTGATTAAACGATTAGCAACACAAGAGGGGGGGTGAATTGTGTGTGTGGAACCGTGACAGTTTTTTTTGCCCAGTTCTAGTGCGGGGTATAGGGAATTGCGAAATAGTAAAGTGCACAAGGATTTAACGAGGAAAAATCCCTTGGCTCAAAGGGATTAAAAAAAACTCGACCTCCCTCGGAGGAATTTTAACAACTTCACTAAAAAGCCTTTGAATGATTACAAGCTAAGGGAAACTCTCCTAGTCTACCCTTGAGCCACCCCAACTCTATCGTCTCTAGGAAGAGTTACGCTTCTCTACCTTGCGGGTAGAGAGTCTCTCAGCTTTATAACAAAGCTCTTACTCACACAAATCAACCCGAGGAGGCTGCTCTTAGCCAATCCTCAAAACCCCATTACAATATAATTATATAAAGAAGGGAAAGAAGAAACTATATCTAGAACTCCGAGTGAGCAGTTTCAGGTGCCTTGAGCTTCAGTAATTCTTTTATGAATATATCTCTCAATGTCTATCTCGGTCAAGCACACATCATTTCTCTTTGGCTGCTTCGTTTATATAGGCTGTCTTGGGCAGACCGTTTAAGCATCCTTCCTTGAATAGTTGATCTTCTAATCTTGGGACTTGCCTCGATATTTTGAATTGCTTTCCTTTCATGATATTTCCCATATCCGAGCTCAATATATAAGGCAGCCGAATCATAATCATATATTCAAGGTAGCATATCAGTCCCAGACTAAGAGAATAAATACAAACAGCTCATCCAAATCACGTGTGATCAATTAATTACCAAATAAGACAAGCTTCGGTCAACTCCCAAAAAGGTAGGAATATTATTCTCAATATAAGCAAGCAACGGATTAAATATGGAATATATTTCAAACAACATTTACTTTTCAAATCCGTATAGCAAGAGAATATTTTACCTACCATAATAAGCATGCAACGGCCCATGCCAGAAAACATCCATACTCAAACTATTCACTTAGTAAGTTAATCAAGGATAACTTTTTATGGCAAGGAGATATTTAGCAAAGCATGCAATACGTAAGTGCTATGGTCAACCACCAAATATAAATCATGCAATCAAATAAGGATACTTTCCATAAAGTAATAAGCTATACTAATAAGTGGATGTCTAATCAAGTATGGAAAGAGAATAACCACTCAAATAAGCACTCATACAAACAAATTACGTGTATCATGCCAAGAGGGATATTTTTGCTTAAAATAATATTTTTGACAAAGTATAATCACTCATATAAAGAAAGCATATTAATTGAAAATCAAGTAGGTGCAATCAATATTAATTCAAACCATTCTGTGGAACTAGAAATGGTCTTGTATTTGTTCCACCTGCAGGGTTAGTCAACAACACAATAATAATGTCCATCTGGACCTAAGGATCGTTCTGTCCTTTGTTCCTTAAGGAACAGTGAGCGGTTCTGTCCGTAGTTCTACCTGCGTGGTTAGTTATCAACAAAACCATATACTCAATAGATTCTTTCCTTTGAGCTCGATCTTCTTAAATAGGCGAGATCAGGACGAGATGTACTATCTTTAATAGCTCGGATCTCCATATATATTTCGGTCCTCTTGCATGGAAATTATTCAAAAATATTTCCTTATAGGTATTAAAAGATATTCTTTTTATTTGATTGAAGGAAATCATTTTTCTTAAGGAAACATTCCTTGTGAGAGGATATGCCCGAAAATCCTTTTTGAATTTTGAATAACAACAATTATTTTGGAAACTTGCTGATAAGTCCGTATTTAGACACGCATTTGATGTGTGTCCGGGTCGGATTTTGATGGTTTTCCTGGCTTTAAGGTGTTGCAAGTCTCAATTTTGGCTCAAGTTGTGTTTAGCATGCGTTGGATCGAGTTTCATTGCATTTGGAGTTGATTTGAAGAAGTTAGAGTCCGGCAATCGGCGCTTGAGAAGCAATCGGGCAGAGTTTGGAAGCATTCGAAGAAGATTTGAGAGATTTGGAGGTCACCGGGGGATTCACGACGAAATTCTGATGAAGAAAGAGCATTTGGATCAACCTCGTAGGCATCCGGGAGCGTTTGGAGCAAGAAAACGAAGAAAAAAACTGAAGAATAGGGTCAGGCACGGTCGTGCCTGGAGTTAGGCACGCCGTGCCTGAAGAGAAATATTCCTGGGAGCTACTGGAGGCCAGGCACGGTCGTGCCTGGCAGCTAGGCACGCCGTGCCTGGCATTTATCACGGAACTTGGCTACTGGAGGCTAGGCACGGTCGTGCCTGGAGGCTAGGCACGCCGTGCCTGGACGCGAATTTCGGATCTCTTCCGCAGGCACGGTCGCAGGCACGGCCGTGCCTGGCACCGTGCCTGGCCGCGATTTGTTCTAATTCGACCCAAATTCATTATTTTCTATAAATAAGGCCTCCATACCCACTTTTGAGGGTGACGAACTTTGGAGAGAGGCCTAGGGACAAGTTTATCTGCGTTTTTTACGTTGTTTAATCCAAGAACCTGGGATTCTTTGTAAGTTCAATTCTTTAATTAATGACAATTATTTCTATTCATCCCAATTCTTTTGATTCGTCAATTATGAGGCGTGAGTAGTTTAATTAGGGATTTGGGGTTGATGAAGGGGTTAATCATGATTGATGGCTAGATTCTTGTCGGTTTAATTGCATGAATGTCGTTTAATTTGTGTTTGAATAATTTAACTGATATCTCTTGTAACCTAGATGGCCACTAGAATTACAATTGCTTATAGAATAAATTAAGAGAGATCTAATTTGTTCTAGGACACATTCACACACACTTAATCGTTCGCTAAGAGTGTTAGAACTTTTATTGTGGGTCAAGTTTGTCTGTAATGTCTTGTTTAAATAAAGTAGACTAGTTATACTATTTATGGTATTAGATTAGTATTTATTATGTAGCAAATAAGGTAAAGGGAATAAGGCCCAAAAAGGCCTTGGCCCAACTTCCAAGGTTTACCTAAATCGGTAACCTGTACAGCGCCTATAAATATGCGCCTTGTGTACAGGTACCGATATCGATCAATACACATTAGCCTTACGCTGCCAAATTTACTTCTCGATAAAACAGAAAGAAGAATTTCCTTGTTCTCGATATTGCCTTATCATTATCAGATCTTCTCTCTTTCTGTGTGTCGATGAAATCCATCTAGCTGCGTGTTAGTCTGCATAATCTGGGACCAACAACTGGTATCAGAGCCTGCTCGAGTGTGATCGTCGAAGAAAAGTTTTCGAAGTTTCTCTGTTTTCATACTTTTCGATATATTTCTTTGTAATCACTGTAATCTTGTTTCTAATCGATAAACTGTAAAAGTTATACCATTGGATTCGCCATTCAGAAACGAACCAAGGGTATATCTTACTTTTCGATTTCAGTAGATTCGGTATTTTTGATTTCTCGATAGTATGAATTCGAAAAGCAGGGTTCTTGACATTTAAGCAGGTTTTTCAGGACGATAACTATACAGGAAGACTCTCGAGATCGAAAACTTCACAGAAAAGTTGTTTAAACTGTTTTAATCTGAAATTTTGATTTGCAGGATTTCGATACTACGTTCTCGATACAAGTTCTCGAACTGAGTTCTCGAGATTGCTTTCTCGATACTCAGTTTTCGATACTAAATATCTAAAACTCTGTTTTTTTCGAATTGCAGGTTCTCGATACAGCTTCTCGACACTCAGTTCTCGAAACTAAGTTCTCGAACTTAGCTTCTCGATACTGAAGTTCTCGATACAACTTCTCGAATCCTGCTTCTCGATAAACAGTTTCTCGATATTCACTATCGAAAACTGGTTCTCGATAGAACTTCTCGAACCCTAGTTTTCGAATTTTTTCTTGAATTAGGTTTTCGACATTCTGCATCTTAAATTTTTTTGATCAAATCACTCGACCGATCTGTTAAGGCTCAATCAGCAAAGATGGAAGCATTAGCACTTGGAAATGACAACAGACCACCCATCCTCAGAAAAGGAGAATATCAGATGTGGAAGACAAGATTCTTGAACTTTCTGGAAGGGAAAGACAATTCATCTGCCATGCTTGAATCACTCACACAAGGTCCTGCTGAGATCTATACTGAAGTAGATACCTCAGATGTAAACAACCCCCCTGTCAACTATGTGAAAAGACTGAAGACAAAAGGCGAATACACTGAGGCTGACAAGTTGAGAATCAAAGCTGATCTCATGGCAAAAACTTACCTGCTGCAAGCT